ACTGCTGTGCAAACTAAACCAAAACAGCTGCATAAATTTTAGTTTACTGATGCTACAAAACAACACTGTCAAGCCATCAAAACATGTTTACAAAATAACTACTAAACCAAACAGCAATGCTGTAACCAAGATTCCTAGATTTGTGAGTTCCCATTGAGTTTCCTACACTTCAACTTCCCCGCTTTCTTTTGTCTTGCCACTTCCAATTGATTTCCAGTCACAGCTTCTTTGCCTTTCCAAGTGAGCTTAGTAGGTGAGTAAGGAAGATCAGTGGGATAACTGACACCAGTATGATCTCCTCTGAAAGAGATGACTCTTGTCCCTGCTGAGGCCAATTGTTGTTACCTCATCAGTAATCGTGTTTGATCTTCAGAAATAATCTTAGGCATTAAAGCAGGGTCACTTTCATGCTCACTACCATCACCAAAGGGTTCTGCTTGTTGTATTGGTACTCTTGGTGTAGGCATGAACACAAATTCACTTTCACGTTCACCTTCTTGTGTTGGTTGAGTTGGTTGAGGGGCTGAACAACTAACATCCTCAACATTTACTTCACCACCAACCTATTAAAAAGAAAAACTTTCTATTAAGTTAAGCATAACTGCAATTATATAAGAAGAAAGATAAGTTAAGAAGAAAGTAAAGTACCTTGCATGTCCTTGAATTGTGGTCCAGTTCACCACAAATGCTGCATGTCATTCTAGTTCCCCTTCTTGATGCAGCCCAATCTCCTTGTCTCTTGTTAGCCTCATCTTTCTCCCTATTTCTTTTGACTTTTGGCCTTCCAACAGTTTTGGCAAGTGGAGGAGGGTCCATAGCATGTTCTGGTAAAACTTTCCAGAACTTTTCACCTCTAACAGGCATCAACTTAGCCCTATATGTCATCAGGTAAGCTTCCTTGCTGTGCCACCAACTAATTTCAGTCATTGGATCCTCTTTCTTGTATTTTAGTGCCCTGATGGTATGAGGGCATGGGATGCCAGTCAACTGCCAGGATCTACAAGTGCATTTTTTCTCCACTAGGTTCACTGTATGTCTATCACCACCCTCAGAAACCTCATAACCAGTTTCACCATTGAAATGAACAGTACATAAGTTGGCTACCTTCAAATAAGCAACATACAACTTCATGCAGTTAGGACTAAACTCACCTCCCCATGTTCTAGCTTCTTCTTCCTTCTCTCTCAACCTGTTCATGACCTTGATTCTAATATCCTCAAGCATCTTCAGGATAGGCTTGCCTCTTGCTTCTAAGATCCAAGAGTTGAAGGACTCTGTAAAATTGTTGTCCACCATCTGATTTTTGCACAATGTATCAAAGTAGGACCTACACCAATTCTGTGGTGGATACCTAAGCAACTCCTTGGCAGCATCAACAGACAATTCACCAAGATTCTTTAGTTGATCTTTAAAGTCCTCCTCGTAAGTGCTCCAAGCAGACCACCATAGGTATTTCTTCATCTCTCCTCAAATTCTGATCCTCTTACTCCAGTTGGCTTCAATATGCCTCACACAAAACCTATAATTTGAGAGAGGGAGGACAGTTCTTACTGCTTCCAACAGACCCTGCACATGTAAATTTAAACAGAATTAACTATATAATAACTTAAAAATAACGGGAATAGTCAGTTAAACAAAATTATAAGTTGTACCTTTTGCATATCAGACATAAAGGTAATACTGGTTCCATCTTTCAGATTCAATGAGTGCTTCAGCAGCTCCAAAAACCATGTCCATGTCAAGGTGTTTTCCTTATCAACTACAGCCCAAGCCAAGGGATAGAAATGATTCTGACAATCTTGTGCAACATCCACCAATAATTGCCCTTTGCAATGACCCTTTAAGAAAGTCCCATCTAGTCCAATGAATGGTCTCAACCCTTGTTTGAACCCCAACTTCATTGCATTGAAGCATATGTACATTCTAAGAAATCTCCTTTTACCTTCAGCCATGGCATCTTTTGATAAATTGATAACCACATCACTACCGGGATTGCTCTCTCTAATCTCATTTGCATATGCTTCTAATCTGTTATAGTCATCTAAAAAGCTTCCTTGCAATTGCTGAAGTGCCATCCTCTTAGCCCTTTTTAATGTGGAGTTATGTACATTCAATGAAAATTGATTTTTCAAATCTAGTTTCATATCCTTTATCTTGTACTTGGGGTTATTCTGCACCTTACTCCTGAAATATTCAGCTACAGTTTTTGTTTTGGCTTTAGGATTCTCAAATGCATCTTCACAGTTGTGCTCTGTCTTCAATATTTTCATCTTAAAGCCAGGACCCTTCTTATCTTCAGAGATGAGGCATTCAAAAGGGCAGCCTACTACACATCTGTACCTTACTCTTATTTTATCACTTTTTTTAAGCTTCAAAGGTTTGGAATTTGCAATAGCATAGAAGTTCATGACTTTTTTGGCCTCTTCCGAGTCCTTAAATGTCATAGACTTATCAAGCTCTTTGTAGTGACTGAGCTTATCATTAACTTCTTTACCCTTTTGCATCCTAAGTGACTCTAATTCTTCAAAATCATATTCATTAGCATCTGAACCATACTCTGAACTTTTATCACTATCCGATTCACAATCAGTACCTAATTCACACTGATATTGACCTGAAATTGGCTCTTCGTGGTCCCCCATATTGAAATATCTATAATATAAACACAGAAGAAAACATAGAGGGCCCACATGAATAATTTAACAACTTTGACAATAAAATATTGAGCATACAATAAAGTATTGCATATAATATAGTGAAAAGAATAAAGCACACACTTTAGTAGAAAAAGCACACGGTCTATACATGTTTTGTCGATTTCAACAGTGGAAAGCAAGAAAAAAAAACAGTCTTTAAGAAGAAATGCACATGGTTCTATCGATTTCAACAACCCAACCCTACCACACTATAATAAAATATGTGAAAATGACACTTGCAGCCAAAGACAAAGTACATCTAGGGCACAAATTGACACCACATAAGGAAACAACAAAGATACCAAACAAAAAGAGTGTCAGCCCCACATGCAAACACTATACACTAGACGAAAAAGGTCCAAAATACCAGAACATGTCAAAACCCTAGAAAATTACAAAAAAAAATAGTTCGAGACAAAGACCCAGTAAATAGAAGGGAAAATTACCTGAATATCTTCCAATGATCTTTAATTTGTGTTGTTAAACCTTGCTCGATTTTATCATCACCTCCAAACAAATCGCCATGGAAGAATGAGTACCAAAAATTGTTTGGAAATGGGGGTTTACGGCCTTTCTTTGATATTTGTTTGGAAATATACAACTCACGTGTGGATAAAGCGGGTTTATGAAATAGCCCGCTTATGTGGCTGCCATGTCATGGCTTATGTGGATGCCATGTAGGATATTAAATGTTGATGGAAGGAGCCGTTAGGTTGAAGGGTATTAATGGGCCATTGTGCTAACGGGGAGGACTTTTTTGGCCCAGTTTACTAACGGAGGACATATCTGAGCTATATACCATAGTTTAGGGATATTTTTGGACCTTTTCCGAAGATTGTTCCTCAAATTGATTTGTGAGCCGAAGCTTCCAAGCAGTAAGTATTAGAATAGAGTCAATTGGCATGTCATGCGAGAAATTGCTGGGTTAGTTAAGTACATCTGTTTAAACCCTACTACACCACTTTCTGTCATCGCCGACATCAAACACATTGTCGGCCAATTTCATTCTTTAATTAAACAAAACAAACACAACAGATTAAATATAATCGTGTCTCTATTCTCCAACTCAACGAATCAGTGAGTTAGAGCAGTCGGGTGTCATGAAAACTGCATCCATGATCCAGTGTCAAAACGAACGGCAGTTCATATATATATAAACTCAAGATTAAACAACGATCTTAATCTCTAACTATGGTGGCTCTGATACCAACTGTAAGAATTATTGATTTGTAGCCATAGCAGAGATTAAGACACAATTATGCAATTAATCTTGAGTTAGAGTTTAAGAGGCGTACCGTTAAACTCCATAGATTCAGCAGCTAGAGCAAACAACGATTAAGCCTGAGACCAACTTCCACGATCCACTAGCTACGCGCTCTCACAGCCTGGAGAACTTGACTGATGGGACGTCTACCGTTACCACGTATTCAAGAGGCAGAATATTCTAATAGCTAGGAAAATGGGGGTTGACCTCTATTTATAAAGAGTGCCTACCCATCACAATTTCTTAGTTATTGGGCCTCACTTATCCACACACAAAATATTTAATAGTAGGCCTTTTATTTATCCACCACTTGGGCCACGTCACTATCCTTTCAGGCTATAACCAATTAACGTAAGTCCAAATTCCAACAGATTTTAAGACAAATTTACAAGAAGAAAATATTCTAGAGCTTAAATAAGTTGGATAGTCATTTGATTTTTCATGTGAAGTTGGAGGGAAAAATAACCCGTTCAAAACCACGCAGTATTAACTAGTGTGATAAACTTGTATAGATAAGTCTTAAATGAGAGTGAAAAAATTATATTAGAAATTTCCGTCGAAACAAGAAATAGACAAAAAGAAGAAACAATCAATAACCAATTAAAGGTGGGGATTAAATTGTAGAAACTGCCTATTGTAGGAAGAACCTAACCTATACATACAATTTACCAATTACGGTACGGACCAAAAGAAAATTTTACAAATATAGCCATGGACATTTTTAAAACAGTAGGAATAATAAAGCGCACACACTTTTTTTGAACATTTGAAATAGCTCGACTCAAACCCTTCGAGAAGTATAGACTTCACGAGAATAGGGTGATCCAAACACTGTCTCACAAGTAGCATTAAAAGCAGTACATTTTTTTTTTTCCTTTCTTCTATATTTTGATTTTGATTTGGATTCTATTATCCCTTTTGTGCTGACAAAAAAGTGTAGGAAAAAAATTAAAAGTGAGTGTGAGACGTTGTGTTCTTGAAAGTTGCCATATATATCTCCACGTTTTACTCCCATTATTATAGCATGTTAGAGGAAATTATAACCGACTCAATTCATTAATCATTATGAGATATATACAACTGTAATTCCCTCTCTTCATGCTCCCATGTCTTCACTCTCCTTTAATTCTTTTTTTTCAAATTCAAAATCCCATAATTCCCTCTCCTTAACATTCTCTCTTCAAGGAAAAACTTCCCTCATTTTCCTCTCTTGAATATTGAATAACAGCTCCACGAAATGAGCAGTCCATTCACAATAACCAGGCTAGTAAGATGGCGAATTAAAGATTGGGTATCGTGCTTCTACGCGTGCAGGTTCCCTTTAGGTAAGTAACAAATTCTAAAGCTTCAATATTTTTTCTGCTCTTATTATTTTTTCTTTTACTTTAATTGACGTAGTACATTTTTTGTAGAGGAAGAAAAAGATATCTATTGTTCTATGTCGCCTCAAAAACCGAGTAGAAACATGGTTTTCGACCCTATTGGTGATCATAACAGAAAGAAGAACAGGAAAAAGTTGAAAAAGAAAATGGAGAAGAGGAAAGAATTTGTGGAAATTTCAGCAGAAGGGAAGGCTGAAGAGGGAGGCGATGACTCAAGCTGGCCTCGATTCTCAGAAGAGGATTATATAGTATTTTGCTTTGAAGATGATGGAGGAATACATATAGTGGAAGATAAAAAATCGGAGAAATTTCAACAGAAAATTGATCATGTTAACTTAAGCCCAAGGCCTGTTTGTAGGAAGGTTGGTAATTAACTCGTCTCCATTACTTTCATTTATAATAGTACTATTTTCTGGGTGTTGAATTTGGAAAAAAGTATCATTCTTAACGGTATAGATAATACTACATATAATTCGATTGAGACTAGTGATGTCGAAGCATGGGTTTAATTTTTAATTAATATGACTTAAAATTGCGAGAAAAAGTATTAATAAGACAATTTTTTTGAACTCTTGTAAAAGCAGCTTAATTATTTAGAGAATGGACAAGAGTTCCATCCTCACCGTCAAAAGAACAAGGTCAGTCCAGATGGAGAAGATAGCTATGGTACAACTGAAGAAGATAATGATGAAAAGGTAAAGTCCTTTAGACAAGTTCCGTTATTTTTATCTTTTTTTACTTCGCTTAATCAACAATGTTCTCACTTATTGTTTACCCAAGCTTTCAAACTGTCAGTTGGTAATGAAAATTACTGTAGCACTTGAAACAATCTCACCTTCTTTCCATTTAGAACAAAAAAACTATTGATTCAATGAAATTTGTCAATAGTAGCATAGTCACACTACTCCGCTGGGCATCTTGAAATTTGAATTACGTGGAAGACGTGCGTGTATTTGACCGATTTAGACTCTTGTCTAGAATTTAGAAATAATATTATGTTGTTATTGGCAGGGTGAGGACGAAATGGAAGAGGAATGGCCCCCGGCTGTCGATAAAGAGATCAGTCACATAGGTGATGTTAGTGAAAACAAGACGAGTCCATCTGCTGAATCAAGTGAGTCTAATGATCACTCTAATGGCAGCACTGGTTCCTTTGCCTTCCCTGTGTAAGTATCCCGTTTTTTTCTTTTTATTTAAATAATTGGTAATTATTTAATTGGTTTTAGCATAATACGTAACAATATTGCTAAATTTGCAGTTTGGGCTGGGAATGGATGGGCAGTCCAGCTCAAATGCCGAAACCAGAGGAAGGCCCACGTTACGAGAAGCATAAGGCTTGGACATGCGTGCGTCATCCCTGTTGCAGATTTTGATACCTTTTCCTACCCCTTTTCCCCTACGCGATTTTCCTGTTGGAACTCAAACTGATAAGAATACAGATCGTTCTTTTATATATTGATCAACATTTTGTCTTTGTTATTACTCACGGAGTTTGACTCGACACGGAATTTAATAAAAAAGAAAAAGACTTTTGAAACTTGTGATCTTAAAAGCTTAAGTGGTAAAAACTTTGTGGGGCCATGACATTTGTGTGACTATAAAAGCTTCTCATTAAGGATAAATGGGTAAAATGAAAGAGTTTAAAGTTGAATTATTTCCAAATTTAGAAATGTGTCATTTGTTATTTAATATGAAATGGAGGGAGTACATTTTTCTTATTTCCAGCAACAAAACCCAGTAATGAGAATAGAACTGAAATACATACACACCAATGGGAAGTCGAGAGAAATAATATAAATAAATAAAAAAGTAACGTCCAACAACACTATTCTGAATTCGAGCACATTAGTCAAAAGAACATTCCATAGCAAGAGAGAGCTTCTGTATATCGGTAATTAATCGTGGACACATTCTTGTACAATTACTTGAGAAATTTACTGTCACCATAAATTATTTAAACATCATCATCAACATCATTTGCACAGTAATACAAAAGACTGTAGCAGTCAATTTCCCAAACAGAATCCATGTTTATGTTCTCAGAACAAGTGACTGCAGATATAATCTTGCTTTGGCAGCTGCAGAAAAAGATGCTTCATCTTGATTTTCTTTAGCAGCAGCAATTGCTGCAATGTAAGCTTCTCTTGCCACCTCCAGTTCCTGCATTCCTGTTTCGTTTGGGTGATCCTGTACAAACGAATTTGAGATTTACAAATCCGGAATAAACTACTAGAAGCTGAGAAGCTAACATTGATTGACCTAGCTAGAGATCGCGCAAGGGGAGACCCTTGACAAAATAAAGCGAAGTTTTAATAGCAGTCAAGAAAACAGGTGTGGAAGGTAGCTTACTGTTTCAATGTTCTTGTCGCATAAGTAAGGAATGACATCATAATCTTCAGCTAAACCCCTGGAACCATTCTTTGTTAATTTTTGAACAAACTGCATGAACCATGCTATTTCTCGCCGAACCACCTCTAGATCGTTCTGGAGTTTCTCCACTTTCTTGCTGGAAGTCATCGCTTCCCATTCTAACTTCTCCACAGCTGCTTGCTTGTCAGCTAACTTAACCTAAGGAGAGCAAAAAGGAAGACATCATGTTGGGGGTTTACCCCTGCAAATTGCGGAGACAGTAGACTACATCGCTGAAAATCTGTATACAAACTAAGCAGTGGATCTAGTAGTAGGAGCCAGTCTCTAAGTGCAGTAATGTGAAATTTTACAGCCTCAGGAAAATTAACCAGAACGTATTGATTGAAACTTCTGGTTGGCATTTACTCCCTGATACTCAACAGAAAGCAAAGGATATGATTATATAACTACTCCTAAGTGATCTCTGTTTCCTAGTCTGTCTAAAACAGCCCAAGTAGAGCCAAATGTTTAAGAGCGTAATATAGTGACCTTTAAGCTGAGCCGTGCAACACATTTCTAGAACAATTTGCATCTTATTGCTTTTCAATTTGGGGGTTGGGTTGGAAAGGGCGTAAGCTGACATTATATATTCACCTTTGCATCAGAGAGTTGCACTTGAGTCGATTTGAGTAAAGAGTCCTTTTCGGCATATTCCTTCTTCATTTCATCTAGTTTAGCACAAATAGAAGCCATTTCATTCTTTGAGATCTCAACTTCCTTCAAAAGTTCATCTTTCTCTGATAATTTATTTTGCAGATCTTCCACTTGCTCCCTCAAAGCCATCAATTCTTCTCTATCTTTTTCTAACAAAGATGACCTTGAGGAAATCATTGAGAAGTTCTCAGTGCATCCATCTTGATTACCGCCAACATTTTTATTTTGGTCCCTGTGCTTTTTCGTCGCAGTAGATTGAGCTGCATTCCTTCCTTTTGCTTCAGACGTCTGCAGCAGTCATCGGTGTTAGCATCTCTAATGGACCGAAAGAAAGCAATGCTCTTTTTCATACAATTAGGGTAGAAACAAACAAACAAACTTGTTTAGCAAGGACAACCTCACAGAGAAGAATATGCAAGCAATCAGAAGTTAATTTCACATACACAACTACTACAAGTATCATATTTGGTCAGCTCTCAGCTAGGACGAAGTTGACTGCTCATTTATAGTAGCGAGCTGATGGAAATGGCTTCACCTACTACCTGAGAGAAGATATCGAGCAGGAAGAGAGAAATAGTATACTAAAGAAATTGTTATGGAGTAAGATAAACTTCCTTTTAACTCTTTTTTATTTTATTTTTTATGAGTAAAATTTTAGATATTGATGTAGTATGAGTTATAACCTCAAATAAAACGTTACTATTAGAGGCTAATACATCATGCCACTTTTCTCTTGCATCAGCATATCCAAGTTTCATGGCAACTGTAGCCACCAAAGTTGGATGATATAGGATTGCTTTCCTTTTAATAGCAAACTCTAATTTAGTCTGTGTAGATGAAACCCCAATTTTGATTCGAGCTGGCCTGTCATGAACCTGAACAATGCCTGCCGTTATTGTTCCATACAAATAGTTATTACTCCTCAAATCAATGTGAAAAAGTTTTATATGATTAATTTTCTAGGCTCTCTCAACCTTCGGGTTGCCATTGAAATGGTAACTAACATTTTGAACCTTGTACTCCAGCCTCTAATTTGCCCATCTTTTAACTATAGCCTAATTGCAGATCCCAAAAGAAGGATGTCCCCTACAACATTAGCAGTCAATTGAGCATTCAGTTCAAGCTGAAAAATGGGATAAATATAACAAGGAAGACTGAAACATCTATAAAGACAACCCAATTGAAAGATGCAATCACAATGATAACTACTCAAGCGAATACCGGAATCGACAAACTGATCGCATTAGTAATCGAGAACCACCCTAATATACTTTATCTAAAAAAACAAGCACCCTGCATAGTATATAATAATTTACTTTCTTAGTCTTTTGAAGAAACTACTTCCCAGATGGAAGCAGCTTTTCACTACAGTTGCAAGAATATAGAGAAGACAGATTGTAAGGAATCGCATAAGTAATTTGCAATACTGCAATTTGTGGTCACTTAATTGAACTTTTTCATGTTTTCCTTGAGTTGTGACAACTTCTATCTCCCAACAGTTTCTCTATCCCGATATGACGAAGAAGCCTGCAGATTAACTCAAATTGTTTTGATGGAATGCAAATCTTATCACTTCTATGAGCTATATTAGCTACTCCTATATGCTTACCTGAATAGAGTGTTTGCAATGGCCTGTGAGGTACTCGTGAGAAATTCTATTGCATCTCTTCTATCTAAATTGATTCCCCCATCTCACCAGAAAAAGATAATGTGTGAATTTATCTCTTAGCCGTTTCATTCTTCTATATCTTGGTTATCCTTATTCGTGGTAATTAGACTGAGGTGGCACGAAAGCAAGATGGTGAATTTAGTAGAAAAGGAATATACTTGCAGTCATCATGTGCCATTGCACCCCTATCTTGTCTAACCCAATTTATATTCTTGAAAACTCTCATGCTAAAACTTGACCGACTTTGTCCAACATCAAATTCAACCTTATGTCAACCAAGACTCTTGTTTATAACTGACCCTATCCTACCCAATAGGTCAACTTATGTTAGTTATTGTTTTTCTCCGCCTTGCTGAAACATAAAACTTACTTTCATTAACTCATTAGAAACCAACAGAAGATTCTCTCCAGTTTGGTTTCTGGAGCATGTCCGAACCAGCTGGAATCACTGATTTCAAAGTAGCAACAGTGTAACATTGCTAACATTTCTAGTATCTCACTTTCTCTCACGGAGACACACGAAGAGACAAAGAATGGACCCAAATAAAAGATATTTGGTGAAATCCAGAGAGTTTGACTTTAAAAAAGTCTATCACAATGAAAAGCAGGGCAGAAACATAAAACTAAAGGTGTCAAGTGTTCGAAAATATATCTGGATCCATATTGCCCTCGAACCAGGAAATAGCTTGGTGAAAGTACTCTTACAATATTTGAATGGATATTCAATCACTAGTTCAAGGAGACCTAAGTGAAAACTGGGTCTGAGAACCAAGACACTTAGATTTTGAGTTGGGTTTAGGCAGCTTATTGGACTTAAAGCAAATTGCATCCTACCTTATACTTTGAAGCTACTGAAGAGATGTCAGTAAAGTAAGACACTTCGCAAAACGTGTCAGTATAGAATTTGAAGCATTCGTTGGAAAAATGGACAATGTACTTAATATTCTCTACTTTTCTGATACGACGATATAATCAACTTGAAATCCTAAAAGTAGATATATGCAGACAAGAATTGAATTAGTACTCCTATTAGCCATAAGATATTTACAGTTCAAGGTAAGTCAAAATTCAGTCCACCGGCACTTTACTTTGCTGTATCTTAGACTTTGCTGTATCTTAGACTAATTCAACATGCCAAAGTCCCAATCTACAAAAAGCTGCAATTTCTTAATCCTATTGAAAATGTTGCCAGGAAGGTAAAGCAATAATTAAGTTTCATCAACTCGAGCCTCATAAAGTTCTAGGAAATGAAGAAGGAAAACTTGTTCCAATAAAGGAAGAGTTTCCAGGGAACTGGGGTTTATTAAACACTTTTTCTATTTCTATATACAAACAGGAAAAAAAAAATACACTGAAGACTATAATTACCAAACAATTTGAAACTGATACAGCCAATAATTAATACAAATACACGAAAGATCACAGTAGAATCATATCATTTCTATATTTAAGACTACAACAGATGCCCGGTGTGAGGAGTGGGAAGGGGAGGTTTGGCGCGGGGGGGGGGGGGGGGTTAGAACTACCTTCTTGTAAAGCGACTCTTTCGAAGGCGTTTTAGTGTAGGTCATTGATCCCCTTCTAGAAAATGAACTCTTCGCCTTTCGATCCTGTAAGAAATCACATGAAAATTTCAAAATTTACACCCCTGTAAGAATAACTTGGCGCAAGTAAAAAAAAGAATAGGTTCAAGAGAGGGAAAAAGTTACAAT